GTCAGGCAGAAGCTTCAGCACATTGGCACTGCTTTGCACGCAATGTGATTGTAAAGTCTTCTCGGCGGGACGGCTCATCTCGCCAAGGATACATGTTCACAACTGTCGAAAACGGCTCGTGTTTGCAAGTTGAACCATGCAAAGTCTGGAGAGAGGGAGCTTCTGCTGAAATGTGCAATATGAGGTGATCCCGGAGGCTTTAAACACTGCAGGGAGTCAGCAAGCATCCATGATCGAGATTCACTGAAATGTTCCTGTCAATATCCCTCCGGATTCGGGTAGAACAGAACTGACCATCTGCCCAAAGCAACTGCGTCTGGTCGCAGGCGAAAAGCCCAGAGGACCGACGTCGTTGCCAAACATGTTCGTGATCTTCCTAGCTCTCCCCCGGCGATGACAATGCGTCAACACCATCTCAGATGACTGCGACAGAATGCCTCTGCTGCACCGGCCCCTCAGAAGTTCGCAGCAAATCTACAGAGTGTACAAACACATATAAAAACTTGCAAAAGCGAACGACAACGACTTCACCTAGGCCTAGTTTCTCAGAGTTGAAGTTCATCTACATGAACATACTCCTCAATCTTCCATTCTCGTAAGAAGCTTCAACTTTCGACAAGGCCCGGAATCTCAAAAGCAGCGGCGTTGAGAGAACAACCCGAGGACCCGTATCGAGACGCCCTACAACAATATCACAAATCGTTGGCATTCTGCTTTTCTGACGGGCACTCACACACCCGCACAACCACAGACAGAGATACCAACTGCAAGCAGAGGCGTTACCAGCTGGATCGTTGATGATCATTGAAACCACAGGACAGCTTCATGCCTGCATCGTGAGACTGCAAAGAAACACCGTGTTGATTGCGAAATGTACTACAGTGTTGTCACTGTAGTTTCAGTTTCCCGGCCACAGAGTCTCTGCATCTTCAACTGAACATACTGGGTTGGCCTTTAAACACCCTGAAAATATTTATATATAGGGTCCCTGTTTTTCCCAAATAAGGAAAATAAAACACGTCCCAAAATCCAACCTAGCATTAACATTGCAGCGGCCTTGCTTTTCCCAACGAGGCTGCACGAAACGTTGGTCTGTCCCCGCGGCAGGCTGGCGTCAAGCTGAATGCGGCTTGCGGCTGGACCGTTCAATCACAACGGCCTCCTAACTGCCCTTGCAGAAAGACGTCAAACAGTCCCTCTGCACTCTGGGACGTTTTCGCCTGCGCTTTCTTTGACAGAACTATGAAGCTGAACTTCGGAACTCTGGCTGACAAGTGACCTTCATGTGACAAATCCCTGCCTCTAAGTCACCATGCAAAACGGAGGGCTACAGTCTTACAGAGTCCTTCTACCAGAAAAAGCAAGCTACAGTAGGGGAGCGCTTGAATGAGAATTCATCATACGTGGACCTGCTGACAGAAACCCCAAGAACTCTTGAGGGTACAAAACCTAGGGGGGATGTGGATCCCTTGAACTAGAGCGCAATCTAGTGCTGATACAGGTTCTAGAAGTTTAGGGTTTTTCGGACAAAATCTGCCGCCACCAGCTCGTCCGCCGTCTCAGGCAGCGCAGGTTGGTGCTCTGCTCTTACAAGTCCTGGCGAGGATCTGCAGAAGCTTGGACAAGTACGATGGTATCAGCAAGCCTTAACCCTAAACACCCAAGCCCCTTTCAGAAGCCCCCCAAACCCTAAACCCGAAACCCTAAGCCCTGAACCTCAAAGCCTCAGAGAACCCTCTTAGAACCCCCATAGAACTATTTTTGAACCCTTAGAGAACCCTTTCAGAAGGCCCCCCAAACCCTAAGCCCTGAACCCCAAATCCTGATAGAACCCGAAGCCCCCCGAGACTCCTGAACCCCTGTTAGAACCCCTTATAAACGCCTTGTAGAACCCTGATATAGACCCCTTTCAGAAGCCCCACCCCCCCTCTCTTTTTGCTTGTCTTTCGGGCGCCTCATCGTCGTCGTTGATGGCCACATTCTGCGCCTCTTGGAGTTCCTTTCGGAAGAAGCGGCTTTTTTGGGGGCTCCAAAAGGGCTTCTGTTTAAGGGCTTTAAGGGTTTGGTGTTTAGGGTAAACGGGCTCCTCTTAGGGCTTTACGGTTTAGGGGTGCAGGGCTCTGGGTTTAGGGTCAAAGGGTTCCTGTTAGGGCTTTAAGGGTTTAGGGTAAAATTGCTCCTTATGGGGCGTTCTAAAGAAGGCTTCTATGTTGAGGGTTCTACCATAAGGGCTCCTAAAGGGTGGCATTCTATCTAAGGGTTCTACTTTCAGGGAACTACTACAAGGGCCCATAGGGGCATCTACTTTCAGGGTTCTGCTGGCATGGCTCCTATAAAGTTTAGGATTTGGGGGGACTGTGAAGGGTGTTTTTGGTCGACAGAAGTTGCTTCGGCTTACAGGGAACTCCAGAAAGTTGGAATGTGGTTTCAGGGTAGGATACCTTATAATTTACCATAAAGGGTTTAGGATAATCATATTCCAACTTTCTGGCTTTTACTTTAGGGAAGTTTAGGGTTCAGGCCGCCTGAACCCTAACCTGGCGTAATCCTACACCCCACCCTAAACCCTAATATAGGAGCCTTAATAAATAGAAGCTTTGGGGCCCGTTATACTACAATTATTATAAGGAACCCCCTTTAAGGCTCCCTTTAAAGGAACCCCAAAACAGCTGTTTAAGCCCTTGTAGTACGGCCTTCTCGTGCTGCGCGATGAGGGCGTTGTCAATCTGGATCTCTGGAGCCTCAAGGCTTTAGGGTAAGACTGAACGGATCCTGGGGCTTAGGATCTCAAAGGGCTCCTTTAATCTCTAGGGCTCTAAGGGATCTAGAAGGGTTCTGTTGGGGAGGCTTTAGGGTCAGACGGAAAGGATCCTGCGTCAAAGCTGATTATTGGGGTAACAGTACTGCTACCTACTTATAACCCCCATAAGTACAACCCAACTTACTAAGTCCCATGATCCTCCAAGTAGGGTTTCAGGGTGCCGGTTCTACAAGGGGTCTCTAACGGTTCTGTATGAGTTAGGGTTGAGGGGTTGGGGTTGAGGCTTAGCGTCCCGGGTTGAGAGGCTTATAGGTTTTAACGGCTCCGCTTCATTGCTTTTTGCCTGATCCCCTAGACTACGTTTGGCGTCCTGGTTGGGCGGTTTCGTTGCAGAGGCAAACGATGTCGTGTTGTAGGAACCTAATTCAGAGAACGCCTGGTTGCCACAACTCCGAAGTACTATTGCTAGGATCCGGGACATCTTTCGTCAGGTTCCGACATTGCTTGGGAAGCTCCTAATCCTTCAAAGCCACCTTGGCGAACTGTCCAACGAACTGGAGGTTGCCCTGGTTCGTCAATCGTCGGGCCAGCCTTGGCTGTGACGAGAGTTCGGGGGCATCTGCGGCTTTGTCTCTGGATTTTATGAAAGGGAGGGGTTGAGAGATTGGTGAGAAGGCTGAAGTACCTAGGTAAGGGTCCTAAACATCTTGTGGAGAGAGCCCTGACAGTGGTCAGGATCTTCCGCTGAGAGCTGCAAGGCTCCAAGCTGGGCGGCCGGCCACAGGAAGGGCTTCTCGAAGTTGTAGTTGCTCCTTTGGCTCGCTGATGCTCTCTGCTAAAAGTGTTGCTGAAGCCGGCAGAGGCCAGCCCGTACAAAGAAGCACCTTTTGAGGCTTAGGGTTTAAGGTTTAGACTTTGGCATTTAGGGTTCAGCTCCCAAACTGAGTTCTGAGGGGTCGGCCGGGCGCTGAGGTCATAGTACTGCAGGTTCCTCTTTCGGTGGAACTGGATGTTCTTTGCCTGGGTCCCCGAGCCCCCATGCCCACGGTCACCCACACATGAATCACTACCAACGCTGCTGCTGCTTCTGCTACTACTACTACTACTACTTCTACTACTACTACTACTACTACTACTACTACTACTACTACTACTACTACTACTACTACTACTACTACTACTAATTCTTCTACTAGTAATAATGATAGTTACGATACGATAGCAGCAATGACCCATCAAGTCTTGCACCCGGAAACCCCCGAAACCTTCGGACTTCGGCTAGGACTGGAATATTCTGGAATTGTGTACGACTCGCACACGCTCGTCAATGGCCTTCACCTGGCGGTCCTTGACATCGACCTGTCAGGCAGCGCTGTAATGAGAAGCATCCTTTGCTACTGAGTGGCAAAGGACCCCGAACCCTCCCTCGGTGCTTCGATAAACTTGGCCAACTGTTGGGCTTGAGCACACTCTGGATCGAATGACTCACAAACACACACACACACACACACACACACACACACACACACACACACACACACACACTCACAACCTGCCTTGTTCCCAACAAGGACGATGGGAATGTTCTCGCACACCCGCACAATGTCGCGATGCCAGTTGGGCACGTTCTGCGGCGGAGGTGCGGCGGTTATACCTATAGATCCCTAAAGCCTATATTATATATTCACTCCTATCCGGGCTGTCGCCACCAGAAGAAACCCAAGGCCTCCGAGTCTCGTCTTTTTGCCGGGGTTCCGAGCTGAGCATTTGCCCGACTTCTGAGGGCGGCAGCTCTTTGTTGGACTTTCCGAGAAGGGACGCAGAAGGCATTGTTCCAGCCTGTAGAATCCTTGCCCGACCCGGGGAGAAACGGAAGATTTTGGACCCGAAAGCACTCACTGCAGCCGAGCATCCCTTCTCCAAGAAAATCCAACTAACTAACTCTTCTGAATTGTTGCAAGGACCTGCGACTTGCCATCTGACCAGGTTACAGCTCAACAACGCGAAGCCTTGGAATTCCTCCTTGAGTCGGCGAGAGAGAAAGAGGGAGATAACTGCGCCTCTGCTCAACCCGCAACACGAACTCGTATACCCTAAACTAAACCCTAGACCCAAAATCTTAAACCGTATAAACCTAAACCCGAAGGCCCGAGGCAAGATCTGACGGAAAAAAGGGCGGAGGCCGCGTCGGGGCGTCTTCCGAGGCCCGGAACCGAGCGCCTCCGCTCCTCAGCGGCTCTCAGCGGCTCAGGCCCGACGTGAAGCCGGTGGTGAAGCCATCCCTGGCAGCAGGGAAACCATGTGTGTATGCACGTGTATGTACAAACACATACATGTAGAGAAAAAGAGAAAGAGAGAGAGAGAGAGAGAGAGAGAGAAGATACGTTATGCTAGATAAGTATGTAATCGTGGTGTCGCCACGCCCATCCCCCCAAACATTTCGGTTGACACCGGGCTTCACTAGCAACTCAATATACGAACGGTTTAACGAACCGAGTTTAACTGCTTCAGAATTGCATCGCAACCTCGCCGCCGGACTTCCTTCCACAAAATCACCTCGCCTGACTTTGTTGAAGAAGTTGTTCGCCTTGGTCTCTGCTTTGAGGACCTCGGTGTTGGCTTTCACCTTAGAGACGAGCTGTGGCGGACTCGCTCTCCCAGTCAGAAAGAGTTCTGAGTCGAGGTGCGCCCATGTTGGTGAAGGCCGTGTTGGCCTGGCGGACTGGTGTCGGACCGACCCTGATATCGTGGAGACCGTCAGGCCGTCTTCTTCTGTGCCTTCACGCCCATGCCCACCAAATCTGTGCCGATCTTGGCTGCCTCCAGGCCCATCTTGGCCTCGCTGCGAGAGCGAGAGATACAGAGAGAGAGAGAGAGAGAGCGCGAGAGAGAGGGAGAGAGCATCGAAGGGACGCCCGAACGGGCCCTCTGTGAACACACTCTCATGATCAAGAAGGGGCTGAATCTGGACATGCAAGGGCGCTCAGCCGCCGGACTTGAAGCTCCTCCTGCCTGGTCCGCGATGGCCGAGTTCCGAATATCGTTCTCGAACTGGCACAACAAAAAAATGCTGAACTGAGGTACGCAGGTACACACCTCACTTGCGCAGTCATAGACGGTTCCCTCGCTTGCGTCCGAGCCTGCTCCTGCACTTTCTCTGACGCACACTTTTCTTTTCGCCTCTTTGGCGTCGATCAAACGCGACGCGTGGCTTCTCGCAGCTAGGTCGGCGCCTTGCTTGTATAGGCCTTTTCGCCAGCTTTTGCTAGCATCTCATTTTTTGCGGCCGAAAAGTATGGAGTATGGCAGCGCCACAAGAAACATCCCGGCAAACATGTTCCCGAGTGAGACAGGCAGCAGATTGTGGAGCAGGAACTGTGCCCAGGACACGTCGGCACCTGCGAAGATGCCCGCCGGGATGATGAACATGTTGGCGACAGAATGCTCCAATCCCAATGTAACGAAAGCAGAGATGGGAAACCAAATGGCTATGGCCTTGCCAGCTGTGTCTTTGGCCATAGAAGCGATGTACACCGCCATACACACCAGCCAATTGCAGAGGATGCCCCGCACAAAGACCGTTGCAAAGGGTAGCGACGTCTTGGCCACCGCCAGCGTCACCGTCGCACCACCGCCGGGCATGGTACCGGCCGTAATTGCCAGCCTTGCCACACCCACCGCACCCACAAGGTTGCCCAGCCAGGAAAGCAGCAGGGACCTCGCCAGCTGCTGCAGATCGGCCTTGCCCTGAAACACCGCCATGGTCACAATCGCCGCGTTGCCCGTGAAGAGCTCCGTGCCCGAGAGCACCGTCATGAAGAGCCCGAAGGGAAGCCCGAAGGAGCCGAAGACCAACTTCTGGAGCCCGGGGTTTTTCTCGGCCAGGCCCGGGCAGTTCCCTCCACAGGGGCCCGGCTTCAAAAGCAACTCTCGCAAGTTCAGTCATTATGGTCATTCTAGGTCACCCTATGCCACCCTGGTACTTAGTTGTCGTGCAAACCACTTAACTAACTTCTTGATACTTACAACGAGGGAAATGCTCCGGCAGCGCTGTGCTGCTGTGCTGCCGTGCCTCCTACGGTGCAGGCCAGGTAGGCGCCGTAGCCGATGAAGGCGCCAGCCAGGCAGCCCGAGAAGAAGATCTTCTCACCCAGCAGGTTGGCCTTAGCTTTGCCTGCAAGCACAGCGCCCTCAAAGCCCTCCGGAGGGGGCGCCAAAAGCGGCGGCGGCATCTGCGTCATGGCGCCTACCTCCCATGAGAAACCCCCTGTGATGCGTCAGCCGATGCTGCAGAGCAAGACTCGTGTGAAGCGAAAAAAAGAAATGCAATCTGCAAGTCCCTGCTGCCACATGTCGCAGTCCCCACCTCCAATGCCTTCGTGTTCAAGGCAACAGCGGCGTTGGTGGCCTGCCATGAGACCCCCGTCGAAATCAACAGATCTCTGTAAGCGTTGGTTTTCGTCATGTTCCAATGCTCTGATACAGCAAGGTGGAAGATGCTGCCTGGACTTGCAAGATGTGTGCACATGCAAGAAATGCCTTGAACTGGTCACGTAACAAAGTATCCCAAAGCTTTTCCGGCCAAAGCCACCGGGCCTTCATGGGAAGGCTGGCAAACTCCCCCGAGAGCCACCCAGTCATCTCCCCTTGCAGCAGCGATTGACATCGCAGAACCCTCATGGTCATACATACATAGAGACATACAGACAGACAGACAGACAGACAGACAGACAGACAGACAGACACACACACACACAACACAACACACACACACGTGTGCTTGTGTTTATATATATATATATATATACATATATATATATATATATATGTATGTGTATATATATATATATGTATATATGGGTGCTTGTCTGAACTGAAGTTCCTTCGGGGTCCCGACTGTAGGGTGCTGTATTAAGAGTAGAATTGCATAGGGCTCCCTTTATGCATGCTTCTATCTGTCTGTCTGTCTATCTACCCATCTATTTCTCTAAACCCTAAACCCTACACCCGAAACCCTAAACCCTTATTATTTCTTTGCCACAAAGTCCGGAAACCGAGCTGGCGGCCTACGGTCTGCAATCCGCCACCGTCACCCAAGTCAAAGTGCAGAGAGCCTCAGCAGCCCACGGCTGAGCTGTGAACTGCCACAAAGCCGTCCCAAAACCCCTAAACTCAGGGTTTTGGGTTTAGGGTTTAGGCCTTAAACCCCTACGTAAAACTCCCGCAGCATTGGAAGGCAGTGGCGGTATAGAGTTGAGGGTTTAGGGAAAGTGCAGACCGCAAGAATCTGTCTCAAACAAGGCTCCGAAGTCCAGATTGTCGAGCTGATTCCCGACACCTGAACCAATGGCACCTGTCGCAGCTTCTCTAAAGTTAGAGACGATTGTGAGGTGTCTTTCACCAAGGCACGCAGGAGGTTCTGACGCATGTTGTCCGGCGCGGATTTTAGCACGGCCACGAGGACTGTGCGTACCACCACCTGCACAGGGCTGCAGTCCCAGTGATAGCGGACGACACGCGACTCCCGCAATGATGATCTCTAATGTACGTCGAACAGCTTTAGAAACCTTCAGTCAACTCGATCGGCATGCTCCACTTTAGAGGTCACCCGGGTGGCTGCAGTAAACACATGACACATGACAAGAATTCGCATCCGGCTTGCCGAAAAATCCGGCTTGCCGAAAAATCGTGAAAGTGGCACCTCGGCAAGTTGGTAGAGGAAAACTCCATTGCCACGTTTGCCTTAGATCTCGACTTCAGAACACAAGCCGAGCAGAAAGGCAAAAGATCCTCACCATGACGAGACCTTGTCTTCGACACCCTGCGGTCACCCACAAGGTGCTTGATACTACTGAAAGGACTCTGTATGTCTTCGGGATGGAGCGGGTTCCTCTCCGGTGCTGGCAGACAGGTCGGAATGTCATCTACCCATGCCATGAGACCGACTCGATGTTCGCCCGCAAGTATTTTGTTTACTTTCGCTGGGGCTGTCCCTCATTTGAGGATATGCATCCAGCGGCCGATGTCTGTGATCAAGATCTCCTGCAGGCGTAGCTAAATTTTGGGACACGCACCTCGAATAAAGGCTGTGAAAATGCTGAAACCATATCCGAGGATGCTCCGACTTACGGGCGCAAGGACACAGCCGAGGTTTCCCGGCCTTCACAACATACGTGGCAGGGCCATACTTGCCACAATCCGGCCTCGCAGTCGCAGCATTGGTCGCAAACGAAGTCTTTCAACTTTCCACCAAAAATTCGGGAGTTTCCGAAAATAGGGGACCCTAATATGGTGCCCTAAATAAGAGGATCCTTATCATAAGCAGCCCAAAATACGGTACCCCTTATGAATGTTCGGAAACTCCCATTCTTTCAAATGTCACCAGCGGATTCTGTCAACTGTACCCCGCAGATGCACTCAACCACCTAAACCCTAGTAAACCCTAAACAAGCCTAGACCCTCAACCGTAGTTGAAGGAATCGGAGTCGAAAGAATCCTGGTTGACAGAAACACGCAAAGTTGATGAAGAAGGCTTCGACGCAGAGCATTAGACTCTCAGCTTGGGAAAAAACCAAGCGGGCACCTGCACTTGGACCCAAAAGCCGTCAGACTTCTGCTACCAGCATGCTCTAAACCTTCAACCCCGCCGTATGCCTCTGTTACATATTGTATATCATATGCTCTATACTGCATGATTCACTATATACACATATATATATATGTATATATATATATATATATATATCTTATACGATTGATCTTCAGCACATCTGGCCCAGGAGCTGCTTGCAGTAGCCGATGCCGATGTCCCTGAAATCGATCTTGTCCTGACTGGGGTCTGCGAAGGACTTCTAGAAGTCTAGAAGGCCTCTACGAGGACTTGATAGGGGGTTGGGGTTTAGGATTGTTTCTATGAGGTGCTTATCGGGTGTCCTATCTCCTTATGATGTGGGATGTTGGCTTGCACGGTCTAGCTTACGGATTTAAGAGTTGAGTCTGAGGTTCTACGATTTCGAACAATGGAGCTTAAGTGCTGCAGGGCTTCGGGTTTGCGGTTCGGGGTTCTTCAGCTTGGAATTCTTGTGGGTGGGGACCTCGAGCTCGCTTTTTGAGCAGTACAGGTGGGAGAAAACTTCGGAAGTATGTTTAGGATTAAGGGGTTTGGGGTTCAGGGGTAAGGGCTTAGGGGTTAGGGGTTTGATTTCACTATTGAGCTTCATAAGACCACTTAGCGCTACTTCTACATGACTGTCTGAACTGCTTCGGTTCACCGAAATGTCCAACATCACATCGCTCCGAGCGGCCGCCTTTATCCGAGTCGTAAGCCTTGGGTGAAACAAGCACAAAGCCACCAGAATGGGAGTGGCTAACTGATGTTTAAAGCAATTGCGCAATCTTCCCTCCGAAACGTAAACATAAACTCTAGTAGTCTTTACTAGGGATCTGAGAAAATATCCGTCAGTGTGGTGCACATTGGGCTCCCTGGGCATGCCAAAACATGTAGTCATTCCGAGTGCTGCAAAATCCATGGTCGGAGGAACGAGAGCAACTCATGCGAGGCCCTGAACCAGGGTAGAAGGGTTGAGGGCTTCGGGTGATTACATATCGATTGTCCCATCCTGCTGTCTGGTGCACTGCCTTCGCATCGTTTGCTGTGAGCACCAGTCTCTGTTACGCTAGAATACCTAAATAGCATGTGTGCTGCGATATGGTTCGGCTGGAAGGCAATGCTGCTGGCTACAGCCCCAACAAGGGTTGCAAAGCATCAGCTCTCAAGCCAGGCAGCGCGTGGAGGGCTTCGGCCGTTCCGTCCTACAGGCGTTTGAGGATTTCAAGCATCCGGGGTTCTGGGTTTAGGGGCAAAGGATTTAGGGGTTTGCGGGATCCTTGCTCTGTGGCCGATCGCAATGCGACTTACATGGCATCCTGGAGCCAAAAACCCGCGAGAGCCCAAGGATGCTACTAGTATGGTTCATGCAATCATGAAGAACCGTATATGCGGGATTCCAAAAAGTCTTGGTAGAGAGATCCTCATGCTTACTCTGGGGCCCTTCATGGTTGGAATGGGGTTTCATTCCGATCCCTATATTGAAGAACCCCTTGGAGTATTCTGAGGGTTCCCTTGGCTCTTCAGCTTCGTATTTAGATGCAGGAACCCGTATGATTTTGGGGGTCCCTATTCGTGGCCTCCGCGTCGACCTGCGTCGCGGCCTTGGGCGCCAGAGCGTTCCTCAAGCTCCGCCGACCACAAAGGCCATTAGGGGTTAAGGATTTTCGCTTTTTGCTTTGCAAGGGCTTAGGACTGTCGGGCTTCAGGTACACACGCGACATGTCTGGTATTCGTCTGCATCCTCTGCAAAAGGCCGCTTTTGTCGCACTGTCCGACATGGCCGCTTTCTTTTCAGTCTAAGAAAGCACCAGGCTGATCCTTGTGACGATGACCCCCAGAGAAGCCACCCTTCGGAGCCGCGGCACAGGTGGTCGACGATGATCTTCGCGTTGGAAGGCGCGTATTCTGAAGTCCTCGAGGCAGGCGAAGAATGCAAGCTATGTCAGTATGGCAATGTGGGATCAATGTTGAAAGACCAAAAAACACAATGTTTAGAAGGTGATGGAAAATCAAGAGATCCGAACGTGTCCCAGTCGCTGCTCGATGAAGACATGCAAAGTGTTGATCGACACCTGCACGAAGGTCTCTTTGTCAGAGCCATGGGAAATATGTCGGAGGCTCTGAACAGATCGATCTCAGCTTGCACCTTTCACCCACCCGTGAACCGAATGGCACAAAAGGAAGCTATTAAACCGCGAAACGGCCACTGCCACAAGGATCATAGCCGGGCTCCTTGTCTTTTGTGAGGTCTTGGGCAGAGCATTCAGGCCTAGGGTTTAGGGGTCGGGGTGTGGGGTTTGTTGGGCCTGAAGGTCGTGGGGAGAAGAGAATGACCCTTGGCCAGCCTCCTCTAGCTCCACAGCCACTACGGCCGAACCCATCAGACGCTGTTTCAACAGCGACATGGGGCTGATGTCGAAGACCTGTGATGCAACAACCGCAACCAAGTTACAGAATCATTCAAACCGCATGGCTACATGCAGCCAGACAACAACGATAAGCGTTTCCCCAGTTCAAGCAAGCTTCCATGTTAACTGCACGTGCGACGTCATATTATGCAGAAGAAGGCCCGTCTGTCAGTCTAGTATATAGAGGAAATGTAGAGCGGAGAACGGCGCTGCACCATAAGCGTCGCTCGCAGATCGACCTCCATGTAACCCTCACCGAACTCTTCCGCAGGTGCAGAACGCACAAATCTGATTTGTGCCAGAGCCACGAGGTGTTTCAAGTCCAGAAAGTCGTGGTGAAAGCCTGTTCCGGGGACTGCGACTCTGGCGGGACGGCAAGCTGACTTGAGGATTTAAGGCCTCTATGGGGCTTTTCGGGCGCGGGATTCAGAGTTCCGGGTTCAGAGGTTTTGGGCTCAGACTTTCAAAGGTCCATTAACCCTTCCGGTTCCCTGGCCTCTTTGGGCTCAGTGACCCAGAGACTCCGATATCCCTTAATCAAGGAACATTCCCTAAATTATCCTAAGGATCCTACAATAACTTAAGGCTTCAGGAATTCCTTAAATTACACTGAGGATCCTACAATAATCTAAGGCTTAAGGAATATTGCTTAATTCAGGGCTACCGGAGCCTCTCTGGGGACTTCCACTCTGCCGGGCCTTCGGGACTGCCGACCGCCAGCTTCCGGATGGAGGCACGGCCTGCGGGGCTCAAAGTATCTTTGAGAGGCCCCAAAAAGGGCCCAATATACCATAATCTATACTACAATCTACTCTATTATACTATACTATACTGTAATATAGACCCCAAGGAGTCTTTTAACACCGGTGCGAAATGGCCAGTACTGGTAGCGTAAGGGAATAGGGGCGAGGGAAGGATGAGCGTGCAAGCTCCCCCTAGTTTTGGGCTCGGAGTGGCGAGGACTCATGGGCCGCTTTCTCTTCGGGTTTGCGTGGGTGCCCGAGTCATTGTAGGCTTGCCTACTTCACGGGTCTGGCCCACTCCTTCTAGAGGCGCACTGCGCATGTAAACATACGTGGGACACGGTGCTGAACGCACACTGGACCACGAACCCAATCCACATCATCATCAGCAGCAGCAGCTGCAGCAAGAGCAGCGGCTCATCGCTATGAGTCATGAAATTGCAATGCAGACTACCATCATCAGCATCTGTGCAGTCAGATTCCACTCGCATTCATGCCTCCTGCGGAATGGGGAACACTGCTGCTCCGGCTGCCACACCGGTACATGAGCTGTTACTATATTATACTGTACTAGACTATCAACGAGACTATATACTATGCTATATACTATGCTATATACTATGCTATAGTACCGTATGGTATATAGTATAGTATATAGCATAGTATATAGTCTCTCGTTTATGGAATAGTATATAGCATAGTATGTTATACTATGATCCGCCGTGGCTGCCGTCCCAGCCTTCTAGGAGCCCTAAGTGCAAGGAGCCGAGGGAGACAGGCCTCAGCGGTTTAGGATGTAGGGTTTAGGGGTGTAGGGGTTTTTTTTTTTTAAACTTGGTACACTTCTCGATTTGTGCGTAGGGGTTTAGTGTTTCGGGTTCAGGGCCATCCGCAAGACCGATAAGAGAATCACCCCACTTTCTTGCAGGATTTAGAGTTTTGCACTTCACTGCTTTCAAAACCGGAACGAACTACCCAAACGTTTGGGGTTTAGGGTTTCGGGTTTGACAGCTTTCAAAACCGGAACGACATATTACACTCCGCCCAAGCGCACGCCCATGGTCGCCGACAGCACAGAGCCGGCACAGGAGCCGAGCCAGTTCCTAGTGGTGTGGGCTTGTTTTACTCTACGTATTGAGTTGCCATAAGGTTCCCATAAGTGTTCTACGGAGTGTTCTAGAAGGGCTTAAGCTAACTTGCAGTTTGGGGCTTTGGGGCTTTAAAGCGCATAGGGTTTTCGGGTTTGGGATGTTTCGGGGTATAGGGTTTAGGATTCAGGCCTTTGGGTCTGACATCTCGGCTGTGGGCTTACTGGTTTGGCGGTTTAGGGTTTAGTGTGAAACCAGAACACGCACAAATCGAGGAAGTGTACCTGCGAAGGCTTTTGGCTTGGTGTGCGCAAAAGGGCTGCTGCCCTTCTGGTAGGTGGGGCCCGGGGTGTCTTCGGAGTTCGGGGTGCTTCCGGGTCCTGGGCTAGTGTCGTGTGGTTCTCCTTGTTCCGTTTGTGGTTTCTCATTGGTAGCGGAGCCCAGGCCGCGCCGGGGATTCTAGTTGTCTTGTGAGTTGCTTGTACGTTCTGTGCTGTGTGAGTTGCTTGTCTGTGTCTGTTGGGGTTCCAAGGAAGGGGTTTTGGGTTTGCCCTTTCCGGTGGCCACATGGTGGCGCCGACGACGACAGAGCCTTCCGGCTCGGCTCCAGACGACGACCCGCCTCTTTTGGCATCTGCAGACGACGGAGCCCAAAGCTGGCAACCGAGCAACAATTCTTCGTGGGATGATTGGCAGTGGGACTATAGTGGTCAGCATAGCTCCGGTTGGGATTCCTGGGGGAGTCAGAACTGGGGTTCGGGAGACCGATGGTCCTGGCAGCCATGGGGTTACTACAACAACTACCGTAGTGCCCAACAGCATCAGGGATCCTGGGGTGGCAGCGATCCTTGGAGTCAGTATCACCGAAACAATGATGTCGAGCACCAAGCACAACGCGAGCAAGATCAGACCTCAGACGATCATCCTGCCTCCAACGACCCTTCAAGCACCGATGAAGTTTCCCAGGACTCGCAGAAGGTTACAGCATCCACTCAGATGAGCACCGAGGCAACCAGAACCTTTTCACATCAGAGCAGGAATGGCTCCCTGGCTTCGGAATCTTCTGCCAAGTCGGATGCAAAAGGTTCTTTCAGCGAAAAGATGGCGGTTCCTTCTTTTGGCGCATCAGGGAGTGGGGATGAGCTAGGTTTGACAGCGCGTTCCTATCTCAGACAAGTTGAAGCTTGGAGCAAGGTTACACGTACGGCACCGTCGCAGCAAGCACTTCTACTTTATCAAAACCTTAGCGGTAGAGCATGGGTTGAGTCTGAAGAGCTCAACGTGGAGGACCTGGCTAGTGAGAGGGGGCTTCAGATCTTCAAGTCCTGGATCAGGGAGCGATATCAGGAGGTTGAAGTGAGCCGCATCGCAGAAACGCTCACCCTTTTTTTCAAGAAGATGAAGAGACAGTCAGGGCAGTCAATCAGGGAATTCAACTCGGTTTTCGATCGTGCACATTCGAGACTTCTGGAGATTGATTGCAAGTTGCCGGAGGTAGCTAGGGCGTGGGCTTACCTGAATGCTCTCGGGCTTAGCAACACAGAAGAGCTTTCTTTGTTGGCTTCAGTTGGCAATGACTATAGCACGGCTAAGTTGCAGAAGGCTGCCATCCTACATGAGAAGTCGCTTCGAGGTCCATGGGTTCCGAAACCTAAGGGCGAAGGTAAAGGGACTAAGAGCACCTTTATGGCGGTGATCGATGAGGACGATGCAACCAGGAACGCCGCAGAGCATGATCAAGGTGACGACACCGAGGAACTTCTCTCTGAGGCAGCGGCGGTGGAACTTCATGAAGCCTATGTTGCCCAGGAATCAGCCAAAGCCCGCTATCGTGATGTCGTTAAAGCCCGAGGAGTTGACCCCGAATCCCTTAAGAGAAAGCCTGCTGATGAGGGATCTCGACTCCAGCTCGATGATCGTTTGGCCCAGGCTAAGCTGCGCAGTTACTGCGCTGGCTGCGGCCGTCGCGGGCATTGGCACAAAGACCCGGAATGTCCCAACAATCAATCCGGGAACGCTCCTGCTAAGCCCAGGAACCCGCAGGATCACCAGGTGCATGCTACCTCGGTCTGCTCCGGGACGGTTCCTGTAGTTGTCGAGGTCGCCTACATGGTCGGGGATCTCGGTGGGGATCGACTTCTGGCGATTACCGACACCGCGTGTTCGAAATCAGTCATGGGACAGGGTTGGCTTGAGTCGTACGTGAAGCTTGCAAAGGAGGTTGGCATTGAAGTTCAGTTTTTGGATTGCCACGATGATTTCCGATTCGGAGCCTCGAAGCTTTTCCATGCAAGCTACTCGGCCACCATCATGATCCAGATCAGGAGCCGGACTTTTATGTTGAAGGCCTCAGTGGTCCAAGGTGAAGTCCCTTTGTTGATGAGTCGCAGTGCTTTGAGCAAGCTTGGGATGATCTACGACGTTGAGGAACATTCGGCAAAGTTCAGGAATCTTGGGATTGAGAAGTATACCCTGTTGACCACTGACAGTGGCCACCCAGCGATCCCAGTGTCACCGAGACGTGTACCGGGACTCAAGTGGCCTTCGCCCCAACAGTGGGCAGGCTCCGAGGTGATCATTGTTCCTTCGGCGGAGTCGCAATACATGTCTTATATGGTCAACTCTGGTCCGAGTGCGCATGCAAGTCCAGTCGCTCCTAGCAATAGCCTGAGCAGGGAAGCCCAAACTCCTGCGGAACCTCCAGGACGCAATCTGTTCTACCCGAAGAAGATCAATGATTGCGTGCGGAATCTTCTTTGTTGTGAGCCCCTCAATCCTCAGACCTTTGCCACTTGGTGGAGCAAGACTCCGATCTCGAAGGACTTTTGGATTGAAACCCCTAACTCCTTCATTCGGATCCACGTTGTTCCCCGACGAGGATTGTTCGATCCGACGAAATGGATTACATCGCAAACTGCTGTGAAGGAGAAGCTCCTTGGCATGCTAGGAGAAATTCGGAGTACATCCAGTGTCTCATGCAGTTCGCTTGTCGGTTTGGGGCCCGTCCATGACCTGTGGCAGAATCACCTTGATGCACAGCAAGACGTTCTTTGGGCTGGCAGGACCGTGTTTTCTCGAGCCTCTAGTAGGCCGTTGCTCTACGGCACCCCGCCTTGTGTTCCGGCGCCTGAACCTCCCGATGGCCTCCCCAGCGACAACCAAGCCTCTGTGGAAAATGACAAAAACAGAGCTGACGAGCGAGGCTCTCCGCCTGAACCTCACAATCCACTCCTCTTGGTCAGTGGGGGAAATCCGTCAGGTGATCATCGATGCCAAGAAGGACTCCGGAGAGACCTCCAGTGTACCCCGCGGTCTTGCGTCGATGACTCTCGACCAATTGAAGTCCCAGGCGCAGGAGCTCGAGATTCCGGTTCCCCATCGCGCCACGAAAGGGCAGCTCCAGATGATGATTCGAGATCTGGTCACGCGGGACAAGGCGGAGGCTGTGGTCACGTTTGGCAGACACCGCGGCAAATTGTTCAAGGAAGTGCCATCCCAGTACTTGGAATGGGCGATGAAGGAAGTCCAGGCGCGCGGGACGGACAACTCGGGTCCGGATCTGGTGAGCTTGGCGAATTACGCCAAAAGCATCTTCGAGCCGGAGCCGCAGGTGATGTACGATCCGGAGCTGGACCCCAAGGTCCCCTTGCCGTCGGAGAGCAGTTCGTGCTGGGAGAGCCATTGGTCGGAGCTGACGGAAACAGGGGTGCGGATGAACCAGAAAGCTGGCTATCGAGAGGAGGCGGCGCAGCTACCGAAGGCCTCGCCCAAGAAGCGAGCCACAGCGGAGGGATCCCAGGCGACCCCCGGGAGCATGGATCAGGATGTGCCCAAGGAAGTGAAGGACGAGATCAATGCCTTGATGGGTCGTCTCGCTGCGCTCAAGGACAAACACGGCCTTTAAGCGAGGATGAAGAGCTCGATGAGGGCTTCGATGAGCCTTTGGAGGAGCCTGGGGAAACCTTTGTTGCCATGACTACCGATCAGGGGGAATGTATGGAGGCGGCCACTCCTGAGATTTTCTATGAGGCACGCGAGGTTCCTGCTGAGGACGAGATCAAAGGAGCATCCCTCGAGCATTTTGCCAAGGATAGGCTTATTGCCAAAGACTTCAGCTTCAGCACATGTGCAAAAATCGTGCGATCGGTTTGCAGTCGAGCTCAATCACTGAGAAAGCGTAACATCAACAAAGGACCGACAGCATTGCCCTAGGAGCCTACTCCCATGGGAACCACTACGGCATCATCCAAAAGACTTTTGCGTTCCATCAGATCTCCAAGTATATCAATGCTTTTATGAAACATCATGGCGCGCAGGGTCAGTGGAGCAGCTTTCAGCTTTGTCACAATTGTCATGTGGGACCACACAAAGATGCACATAATCTTTCCGGTTCGCAGTGCTGGACTGTCGCTTTCGGGGACTATCACGGCGGTAGGTTATGGCTTCAACATGATCCTAAATCCGAGGTTGACAAGACCACCATCCTGCAGAAGATCAAGCTCTCCGATGGTTCCGAGGCTGAGGGTGAAGTTATCGACACATGTGAGCATATGATCAGCTTCAATCCAAAGACGAAGCACGCAGTCGAAGCAACATCCACAATACCATCGAGACTCTCAAACCCAATGTAGTTTGTTTCCAAGGTGATGCGGGATACATCCAACATGGAGATCGCGTTATACAAACAATCAACTATCAACTCAGTCGCGGCGGTTCTGTTGTTTTGCGAGGACTCTTTTATGATCCGATCTGGGACTCTCGAGCTCTAGGTGATCTTTTAAGCCAACATGAACATTCTTGCGAGGAAACTGGCGAACTTCGTGTACTCCGCCTCGGTCATGTTCCTGGACTACATTGCCCCCGGGATGAACAAACAGAAGGGATCAGAGAGAGTTTTGCCGCATCACACAGTAGACGTGGTCCTGTTGATTATGAGGGAGCATCAGCAATCCACTTTGACAGCGAGGTCCCCAAACATGTTCAGTCGGCTCTTACTCGATTACATCAGAACCTCGGGCACCCTCGTATCGTGGACATGTTGAGACACTTGCGCTATGCCGGGGCAGACGAAGGGGTGTTGAAAGCCTGTAAGAAGATGCGATGTGAAGTTTGTGCAAGGAACCAATCTACACAAGTGGCGAGACCAGCAACCCTACCATCGCTCCTTGACATGAACCAGTTGGTCAGCGTCGACGTGTTCCATGCCTTTGATGCGAACCGGGTTCGACATGAATTCCTCTCTGTCATAGACCATGCTACTACCTTCCACTTGGTCTGTGAGATTGATGGCCATTCTGCTGAAGCGTTTTGTCGGAGCTTCACTCAGTTGTGGGGTAACACCTTCGGGGCACCAGGAACAATCTCGGCTGACTTAGAAACCGGCTTGCAGGGTGGCATCACGAAGTATGCGGAATTCTTCGGAAGCAATCTCCGGAGCTCTGCAGGACAAGCGCACTGGCAGCAGGGGGTAGTTGAGAGACACGGATTGTGGTACCAGGAGATACTTCGTCGTGTGATCATGAGAAATCCATCACCAGTGAAGACATGTACTTGGCAGTGCAGGCGGTGAATTCGGCCAAAAATGAACTTAGGCGACGACACGGTTTTTCGCCAACTCAGGCTGTTTTCGGACGTGACCCACGATCGCCCGAAGAACTCTGTGGCGGAAATGACGAGGACCGGTTCATTGAAGTTCTTTCTGCAGACAGACGACGGCAACGGGAGGTCAGCATTAGAACGGCTGCTAAGATGGCTTTCTTTCGTAGTCAGACCGATTCCAAGTTCAGAAAGGCGTTGATGCAACGCAGCCGCATCAAGAGAGGGGGCTATGCCGTAGGTGAGCTCGTGAGTTTCTACCGCATTGAGAAAGTGGCCACCAAACGCGGCTCCTGGCGAGGACCTGGAACCATCATAGGATCAGAAGGGGGGAACTGGTGGGTTTCTTTCGGCGGTCGTTGCCATCTTGTCGCGGAGGAACATATGAGACCCTCGACTCCCGAGGAGGTCGGTGATATACTGACTACAAAGGTTGCTCGCGACGAATTGGAGAAACTACTCAACCTTGACCCCAATGATCCCGACACCTACGCACCATCCGAGGATTACGAACCTTCTGAACCTGCCGGTGAACCAGATGGCGTTGATCCTGGACAAGAACTTCTTCCTGTACCTGATGAAGATATGGTCGAGGACATGGATTTCTCTGTAGAGCTTGAAGGTGAACCGTTTCCGGAGTTGCTAGGAGAAGAAAACCAAACCGCACCCAGTGTACCCGGACCAGTTCGGCGACGAGTTCGCCACAAGGCTTCAGAACCTTATGTTCACTCCGTTCACATGATGAAGAGGTGCCAAACTGATCGTGCGCTTGAGAAGGCCTTAGAGAAGGAGTTGCCATGGAAACTCATTCCTGCCGAGGAGCATGATGCTTTCAGACGTGCAGAAGATAAGCAGTTTCAAGAACATCTGGACCACAAGGCCCTCGCTCCTATCAGTGTTGAAGAATCCGCGGAAGTGCTTGCCAACACTGACCCGTCCAGAATCCTGACTTCTCGTTTTGCATACCGCGATAAGCACTGGTCCCGCAGGAAGCTCGATCCATCAACTCCCTGGAAACACAAAGCGAGATTAGTGGTTTCAGGACACAAGGACCCGGATGTGAAGTACCTTGAGACAGATGCGCCGACAATCAATCGCCTAACCATCCTGACGTTGCTCCAGGTCCTGGCCAGCCGACGGAAGACCGACGACTGGGAGGCAGCAGCAGGCGACATCACTGCCGCCTTCTTGAATGGAGATGATATGGACCGTGTTCTTTATCTCCGACAACCGAGGACCGGGCTTAAAGGTCTTGACCCTAGACAACTCCTTCGGATCACAAAGGGGGTGTTCGGGTTACCGGATAGCCCTAGAAAGTGGTGGAAGCGCCTCAGACGAGATCTGCTCAACATCCGATTGTACATTGATGATGAAGAATGCTTCTTCGAGCAATGCCCACTTGACCCATGCTTGTTTCAGTTGGTCTCAGCTTCCGACAAGACCCCTCGAGTGTACGTCGGGGTACATGTGGATGATCTGTTGGTTGTCGGTCCTAGAAGGTTGTCCAGTCAAGTGAGGGAGTGCCTCTCGAAAACGTTCCCAGTCGACGATTGGGAGATTGACACGTTTGAGTACATTGGCTCACACATACATGTGTCTGATGAGGGTGTGCTTGTTAACCAAGAGGCTTACGCAAGCTCGCGACTGTTCGAGATCCCGATTGAGAAGGGTCAGGTCGATCTAGATCCAGCAACTGAAGAACAGCGCATTGACAATCAGTCGTTGATAGGTGCTTTATCATGGCTCAGTAGCCAATCTCGTCCTGACCTCCAATGCTCTGTATCCCTGGCACAACAATGTCAGAAAGCTCCGACTGTTGAAGATATTAAGTTCACGAACAAGATTGCAAAGAGAGCTTGGGAGTTCCGGCAGAAAGGAATCTGGTTGAGGCCATTGGATCTGTCAAAGCTTGAATTCTTGGTGTATCATGATTCGGCCTGGGCCAACGCGCTCTTAGAGGGTGAGGATGAATTTATTCTTACTCCAGAAGAGCATTCGGCTGGTGTGATGAACGACGGACCGTTTCAACACAAAGACAGAAAAGCTAAAAGAGCCAATTCTCGTGTTGCAAGCCAGATGGGTATCTTGATTGTTCTATCGGATCAAGATCAAGTCGCTCAAGGGGGCGGCACTGGTTGCATTTTGGACTGGAAATCTTCTGCCAATCCAAGGGTGTGTAGATCTACTTTTGGTGCCGAGACGACTGCATGCTCTGAAGCCGTCGAGTTGGGGCAGTATGTGAGGTCTTTCGTGATGACCATTCTGAGCGGCGAGCTCAAAAGAGTGGAACAGCTGGCAGGTGGACAATTCCGATGTATCACCGATTGCAAGTCTTTGTATGACCACCTCCACCGTGACGGGATCCCTAGGATTCCTTCCGATAAACGGCTAGCCATAGACCTTGCTGCCTTGAGACAGACGTTTTCTCTTGAGCGCATTGAAGACCGAATCCCGCTCTTCTGGGTCCCCACTAGCTTCCAGTTAGCCTATATCCTCACTAAGCCTATGGGCCCTGACGACTGGTGGGGTACGATCTTCAATCGCATCAGGCTTCCCTTCGTGAAAGCGGGCTAAAGGCCCCATTATCGAAGAGCATGCCGAAGCAGTCTGAGATAGAAATGGATTTTTAATCTGTGTGAAACCAGAACACGCACAAATCCTTTCCGGGGTGTCTTCGGAGTTCGGGGTGCTTCCGGGTCCTGGGCTAGTGTCGTGTGGTTCTCCTTGTTCCGTTTGTGGTTTCTCATTTAGGGTTTAGATTCAGGGCAGGAAATCCAGTACGGTAGTTTCTCAGGGTTTCATCGGAATTCTTGCACGGGCTTCCTTTGGAGAGAACGGCCCTCGAGCGGCGTGGGTCTCGCTGTTGACGGCCGGCTTCATGAAATGAAGGAGCCGAAGAGCTCTACGGTGGATGATATAAATCCCTAGGTTCCTTTAAAGGGATCTATAAGGGGTTCCTTTAAGGGTTTAGGGTCTAGGTTGATGGTAAAAATCCTGCATTACCTTAAGGACCCTAAACTATGGGAATTATGGTATATTCCTTATTATGGCTTATTATGGGTAATGCAGGATTTATATCATCAACAGTAGGGGTCAAACCCTTCTTAAACCTTGTAGATCTGTAGACCCCCTACTGGCAGGCAGGACCTCTACGGCTTCTAAGCAATACCATGATCAGGATCAGTAGTAAATAGTAGTACTTTTACTTATTACGGTAACTTCAGGTAAAATACTACTCAGTTACGCCAATTGCGGCGCAGTCGGCTGGAGAGCAGAGATGCCAAGAGCCGTGCTAATGGCCAGACACAGCAGCACAAGCACCTCTGAAACCCAAACGGATTTAGGGCTTTGAGAGTTGCTTTGGAACCAGACACGCCACGAAACAATCAGGATAGTGAAAAAGTCTGTAAGTCAGGACCCTGGACCCTCAAGGAACGGAAGCACTGGAATGTGCAGAACCTCCCGGCCAGTCGGATCGGACATGCAGATCACAGCAGCTCCAGGAGAGGTTTTGAGTTTCGGGTTCAGCAGCTACTGGTAGCATTGGGGATCTTTGGAAGGTGTTTACCTGGCCGGAGTCCAAAATCGAGTCTATGTTCCTCAAGGCACACAAAAGGTGCTGCAGCAGCAGATGCAAGAGGAGCAGGGGCAGCTTCCACGCTGAAGCCGACGCCTGTCTGGCTGCCTGAAGGTTTGAGGTTTAGGGTTTCGGTTTAGGCTTTAGGTCAAGCTCTGTCCAAACAGGGGTCAGGGTATTCATCTCTTGGACGGTGCAACTTTTCTATCCATCAAGGACACCCCTTGCTAAAACCCCAAACCCCCCTAAGATGCAAAAATAATCATAATAATAGTAATAATCACACCAATGATAACAATACTAATGATATTAATACTACGAATACTTGCAATAAGCTCAGGTGACCCTTGGTTTCTTGAGACCGGCCTCGCCCCGCACTTCTGGCAGAAGCGAGCGCCGGAAGGCAGCGGATGCCCACAGCGGTGGCAGAAGAAGCCCTCCTCCCAGGAAGTGGGATCTTCAGAATGATCGAAGACCCTTATCCTAGTCCGAACCGTAAGGTATTCGGAGACCTCCCAGTAAGTGGGGGGTGGAGCTTCAGAAAGATCGAAGAGCCTCATCCTAATATGCGAACTCTAAAGTATCAGGAGACCGGTTCTAAGGACGAGAGGAACCCGCTGGAATGCTCTTCTCAAACCCTATAAACCCCACTAAGCCCTGTGACGTGAAAAAGAGCCTCCGGGGTGAGCCAGGACCCACGCGCTAGCTTCGGCTTCAGGCTTCAGGGCTTTTTGGGGTTCTGATCGGTGTTTGGAGTTTAGGGCTTAGGGCTTTCATGGGCTCTACGGTTTGGGTTTTTTGGGGGGTCTGTCCTCTGCGTCATCCGACCTTGAGCGCGACAAGGAGTGAAGTGCACTTCGGGGCGCCCCGAGCCGCTACTGGTGGTGAAAGAAGAGGAAACTTAGAGGTGTCTGCAGAAGTAGTACAGTCCCCTCAGAAAAGCAGCGGGGTGACTTAAACAGATACCTGTGTGTATAACTGCACTTTGTTATACCCCAAAGCCCTATGCGCCGGGCATGAAGGCCAACACATTAAGCTGTCCTCCCCCAAAAGCGCCCAACTACACAGCACAACAAACACTAGGCTAGGATATCCTGAGATGAGACGATACAAGTATTCTGCTCTATGGAAGCATAGAATATCGGTTCTGTCGCCGCAAATACTCGCACGGCATGGTGTAGTACTTGCATTGAGTTCGCGACGGCGGCAGAATCTTCGAGCTCCGGTTCGAAGGTCTCCACTTTGGGGTTGGCAGTGACGCAGTCAGCACGCGTGTAAGCCAGGACACGGAAAGCTTCGCAGTGAATGACTGGTAAAGCAAGAACGACACGTGGGATAGGAGGCGGGACCGGGAAGGACTAGTTTAAGTGGCCAGAATGATGCAGTCTAGTGCAAGAAGTTGACCGGGTCAGCGGCGGGTTTGCCTTGAGTGGCATTTCACAGATTAAAGTGGATCCAAGAAGCATGGAGTCGCTTGCAACGAGTGCATTCTGCTCCATGTCCGACTTGAAGACCATGGCTAAGCCGCAGCAGCTGCAGCTGAAGCTGCAGAGTCGCTCAAAAGGGAACTACAGCTACCACGAACTACAGGCGCTCGCCGCGCCCGGTGCTTGGGGTTTGCTTTTGCCTTCGAGGTTTGAAAAGGCCAAAGGCTGAGTTGGGTTGGGAATGGTTCTGATGGAGCCATTGCCATGGATCTCTCTGCTCCGAGATCTGTGCTTCTAGAAGCTAGAGGGGCTCAGTGGCCTCAGCCCTCAAGCGAGCTCAACGCGCTGAACATGACTTCAAGAAGCTGCCAGAAGTCAAGAGATGTCAAGAGCCAGTGAAGTCGGAGAAGTTGCGTGCGAAAGGCAGAGATGATCCGAAGCCGACTGCACTTCTGCTGCCTTGTATGTGATGCGGGACGTCACGTCGAACATGATGATGGCACATTGACCTTTCAAGTTTTAAGCGCCGGAGAACAAAGTCAACCTCTCTCTGGCATCTGGAAGCAACGGTCCCAGAGCTTGCACTGACTTCTTCTCACACAGACAGAGGTGCCGGCCCTGAATGTAGTAGCCATCACGCAGGCCGCCGAACTTCTCCTGAGCTCTGGTGTCTTACGGCACCGGGGATCGCCCAAAGCTCCCGAAGGCGGATGCCACAAGTCCTGGCCGGCAGTATCCCAGACGTTGAAGGTCAGCGGTCCACCTCAGCCCAAAACTTAAAAGTACCTCAGAACCTGATGGATTCCACCTCCGTACCGTCCATACCCGACCCGTCAGCCCAAACGCTGTCTCAGTTTGAGCTTGGTTCAACTTGGCTCAACAGCACGCCACGAGCTGAGACGAGCCGAGGAATCCACAATTCGTGGTGAATCGCAGCGGGTGCACCTCGACACCTCAAAGCTCGGATGCTCTGACACGGCTACTGTGAGCCACCGGCCTTACCCATTGTTCTGGGGCAGGGCTTCCGGGCTTGTAAGGCTCAGGGCCCAGGAACTTTGAGGACAGGAGCCACACACGTGCCAGCATGGAGGTAGCATGGAGTCTTGAGTGCTTGGGCTTGGGCCCCCGGATCAGACAAAAGCCAATCGTGATGGACTGAGCTTCCCGCCTAGGGTTGGAATGTACTTCTTCTCGAACTCGCCTGCACAGCTCTTGCTGCACAGACCAACCGAGCGTTTGAAGGCTCTGGCCTGTCAGGTGGCGCTTGACCAGGGTCGTCTTTCCAACACCTTTGCACTGCACTTCGTGGCTTGAAGCTCCACAGAGCCGCTTCTCAGACTTCCCAGTTGCTAAACTGCCGAAGTGTTTTCAACATGCTGCCCTTCGTTCGGTAGCAAAGCCTGGGGCGGTGTCGCCATTCCCAGCCCTTCTGCAGCAGCCGTGCCTCCATCACCGCAGAGCACGAGCTTGAACTCTGGTCCTGCAGCAAGCCGACTGTGTGTTCAGAACATCGACCACCGTCATAGACAACATGACAACCGAGCATTGATGGACCCGACAATCTCGCTGCACCAGGAACTCCTGGGCCGCTGAGTGCCCCAAAGAGGGCTCTTCGACGGCGGTCCTCCGGGAGCCGCCATTGGTCCAACGCCAAGGGAAACAAAGAGAACGGCTGGCGGTGAAGGCCCTCTGCTTCTGAGCCAAAATGGCAAAAGGTCATGTGAGTTTGGCCTTACACTGCTTACATACCATGTCTGTCGTTTGAGTAGAAAAACGAATCAATCTTATTGTTCTACTCGAGCTCTACAAGCAGTGAAACCCAGGTCAGACTCTGGCAGTTATGCCGGCCAATCTCGACCATCAAACATCCCGAGAGAAATGCGCGTCAGCTTTTTCGTCGGGTTACTGCAGACTGCTGGGAAGCTGCCCAGAAAGACTCCGCAGCACTGGAACTGCACCGGCCTGCAACTACGAAAGAAAGTTCAGAACTTGATTGAGCCGATTCATTGCAAGCTTCCCTTCCTGACATTGCGTTCCATGTGCCCGCACTTAGCGCATCAACCACTGGAACTTCTCGAGGCCGCGATTTCTGCTCCGAGAAAACCTCTTCCAACTCATCGCAACCCCAGGCTCTGGACGTGGAGAAATGTCGGCGCAAGCTCCCCAACCAGGCCTCGCGAACGGCCGGTGCCAACTCCGGGAACTCCGCGACGTTGGCTAAGGCAGAAGCAGCCCTCCAGGCCTGTCTTTACGACGACTGAGCAAAGGGAAGCAAAGCATGCATTGCCGTTCCACTTCGCAACAGAACGGTCCGGCAGCGAAATACCCGCGAAAACTGAGGAGTACGCGGCGCGCGGCTCAGGCCATTCGAGGCTACACGCGCAGCGCGTCCATGCATCGACCGCTTACGAGACGAAGCAGTTCACTTCTCTCGACCGCTAAATATTGACCGTGACTCAAGGGCTCAAGGGCCAACAGTCTTAACCTTCCCCTCAGCAAGGCCTCAGGAAAGCTCTGGCCACGCTTGGCAACGTCCAGGAGAAGAGGCACGCCTGAGCTTCATATTTTCTGGCAGCAGCGGGGCGCAACCTAACTAGCAATTTCCATTTAGGCATGCTGTCAGCACAGCAGAGAAAGCCAGAGAAACCTCGCAGCCTTTGTCTTTTTCCTTTGGAAGCTCTGCTGCCGGTGTCGCAACGGTTGCCCGAGACTTTTGTAAGAGACTCCGTGTCGTCGTCTTGCACACCGGCATTTCACACACAGAGCGTGTACATCGTGCTTGGGGGTTTCAGTGGACCTACTCTGGCACTGGAAGGTAGTCTACAAACTTCCGGGCTGCTGCCCGATACTCTTGCTCCACGTCGAGGCCCCCTGCCAAGGGCAAGCCACCCATCGGGAGCTGCCCTTCCTCTCGGCCGACGTAGCAGGGCCGAGTTTCAGGGCACACGTACCCAAAGCCTCCAAAACCACTTAATTAAGGAATATACCTTAAATAGGGATCCTATTATACTTTAAGGTATATTCCTTAATTAAGGGGTTTTGGAGGCTCTGGGTACTTGAGGTCTTCGGAAGAAACACCGCAGGTCCCCGAGAAAGCCGGGCTTCATCTCTACTACGGAGTCTCCTTACCTGGGCTGCTGCTCTAAGGAACTTCAGAACCAAAAAAAAGCTGTTATACTCTTCGGAAGTGTCTGTAATTGAAAACAGGTCTTGAAGAATAAAAGCAGCATACTCTTCGGACCTACTAGCAAAGTGTATAATTATTGCATTTGGTTGAAATAGGGTTTCCTTGTACAGCTAGCTTGGTGTAAGTGCCTCAAGAGCAACCCAGACACGCTTGCAGAGAGCCTGTCGAGCCTCGCTCGCGGCCTTCTTGGCTGCGTCCACGGTGTCAACCGATTGGTCATCTGGCAGTCCACCCGCTGCCCCCCAGGCAAATCAGACTGCCTTTGCAACGAGCAGACCGACGATTTTTGTCTTCAGCTGCCCCATGATCGCATCGAACTTTTAACTCTGATATGGAGGCCTCACCGTTCCGTGTGGAATCAAGGATGGACACTTCCGCTCCCGTTGAGCATCACCCTTGACCTCGTCGCCGCCGTTTCCATCGGATCCGAACACGTCCCAGGAAGGCAAGCAGGTCCAATCACCCGCCCAACAGCACTCCCCTTTTCCAGTTCTGTCGTAGAACCAGAAAGGATGCTCCACGCCTCGTCTCCACTTCCAAACTTCACACGTGCCCTCGTGGACCTTCTTCTTGCAGCAACATGTCCCCTTCACCTCCTCCCATTCCTTCGGGCGTCGGGTTGAGGCCTTGGTGAGGGCAGTATATTGCACGCGCACTGGCTGGGATGTTCCACCGCTGGGCGAAGTCCCTGCGCAGGCATGCTGCGAAGCATCGCCACGTACCAAAGAAACTGCACTGCTCTGCTTGTGGTGCCCATCCTGAAGCAGAAGGGCCGCTGCTGTCGACAGGCCCGGGGATCTAGAATTTCGCAGCTCTCGCTACACTTGCCAACTTGATGCAGTCGGCTGCAGGCGCAAGCGATACACAAACGATCAATTCCCCACACTTTATAGTTCGTCCCCAAGGCTTTGAGGCAAGTGAGCTTGCCTCCTTCCTCGCAGACGGCTGTTGCTCCTGCTCGATCTGCTGCAAGGTTTCGAAGCCTAGATGCCACACACACGGAGCGTTGGGTCGAAGTGTCTTCGAGTGATTCAGCTTCATGGGGCTAGACACAGCTTACCACAGACCTGTGCACGCTGCGGCACCAAAAGGAGTTTCGGCCGCACGGTATGGAAAACAAGCACGGTGGCGACTTCCCACACTGCACCAATGCGCCGCGACACGTTTGAGCCGCAGCGGCCACCACCTGAAGAAGAGAGAGAGCCTTCCGTTAAGGCCCCTGTGTCTTGCAACCGATCCTAGAGCTCCAGAGCCTGAGAAGTCAGCACCCGGAGAGCAAACTGTATCACTTAAGCAAGGAATCTATCTTGAACTTTATAGGCCTGCTACTCATTTTAGGAATACCCCCTGCACCAGGCATAAGGCTTCTTGCTAGTGGGCTTTTTGTATTTTTTTGTGTTCGAAGCCCAGCCTCCGAGCACTCGCCCCCGAGCAAGCACAGCAGCCTCCGAAGCAGAGGCAGTTGCATCGGGGTTTTGGGGCGTATTAGGCTTAGGGTATAGGCGGTGTAGGGTTTAGGGTTTACGGTTTAGGGTTAAACGTATTAGGTTTAGGTTTTTTCTCTTTTCTTGAGGGCCTTTTTGCGACTGCACTAGTCTCTAGCCGTCACAGCCCAGTTGGGCAGGCACTTGTGGCCACATCAACCTTACCCCTCTCAATGGCGTACAGGTTTAGGGTTTAGGGTTAAAAGCCTAAGCCCTAAAGCCTGGGGGCTTAGTTTTCAAGCTTATGGTGGAGTATATGATTTAGGGTTAGGCATTTGCGGGTGTAGGGTTTAGAGTTGAACTCGGGGTTGAGGTTCCATTTCTCCTGAGCGCCTTTTTCCGTCTGCCTGAGTCCACCGATTTGGGGTTTTAGGGTGCAGGGTTTTCGGGTTTAAGCCAGCTAGAACCGTATTTTGAGCTCGGTCTCCACCCTCCTGCGCACAGTGCGAGGTAAATCAAGATCTGTGAAAGCTCTTAGCACACCGACGCCAAGAACTCTCAGACTCATACAATCGTATGACAGTTTGCAAGACCGTCATTGCCAACCCACAAACAAACTTGCCGATGAATTTGATTGAGTCAGTCGGCATGTTGGGGGGAACGGGGCCAGGGTAGCAGCAAACAATACAAGGCACCACACGATAATTATCCGATAGTGGCTAGAATAACGCGAACCGCACCATGGATGGCATGCCATGCCCTCGACGGCCTGCTTACGGCACCACAGCGGCGTGCCGCATTGCGGTGTTCTTTGGCACCACAGCAGAAATCCTTAGAAGAGGAATGGTCAGCACAACATACGAACGACAACTATCATCACAAGAATCGGAGCATTAGCAATGAAAGATACGTGTAACAGCAGTGACCATCAGCACAACATCAATACCAATCAATGCAAGCCCATCTTTACCATGTCAACCATGATAAGTGGAAACTTGAAGAAGCTAGGCTCAGCTTCCTATGAAACGCTAAGGGTTGCAACCGAGCTGCCCTCAGCGCCGTCAAAGCGAAAAGCTGCTTCTCCTGAGGAAACCAAGCGAAGAGTGCTTAAGGCTCAAGGAGAGCCCGGATGTGGATTCAGGGATCATACAGTAGAAGCCAGAAAGTTGGAATATCATTATCGTAACCCCTTTAAGGTAAATTATAGGGGATCCTACCATTAATCCATATTCCAACTTTCTGGAGTTCCCTTTAAGGCTCAAGGAGAGCCCGGATGTGGATTCAGGGATCATAGGCCGCCCGGGCTTCAGCTGGGGTTCTCTGAGAGTTCAGATCTGACGGAGTCAAGCAGATCGAGTCCCAGTTCGAGGACCGAAGCAATGCTTACACGTGAACATCCCTCTTTCTCGTGCTCGACTCACCTGAGTTGTCCTTCAAGCCCTTTGAAAATTGTCTACTATTTTGGTTCTCTACAAGATAGTAGGGGAAATTAAAAAAAGACCCCAAAGGACAGCCCAGTCACTAGCAGTCCAATTGCTGCTCACTTCCAGGTTGTAAGTTTCGATGCGTTAAAAGGCTTCTCGGACTGGTTCTGTCCCGGAATCCACATCAGGCACCAAAAGCACCGCCCATGATGGCACCAAACAAAACACCACTTCAAAGTCAAATGTCCCCTTCTCTCTGGCCCAAAGCCCCAAGACATAAAAGTTGAAACTTTCAGAATCGACTACATTGTAAGAACCCCAAAAGTTGAAAACTTGAGTTTACAGCCAATAAGCCTTATTTGCGCAGTCGCCCCAAAAACAGTGGCCTCGCAAGTGTCGGCGCTGGCGGGAAGCGTCGCAACCAGCGATGCGATCTTGGCGTCAGACTGAACCTCCTGTCAATCTTGCAAAAAGCGACGTGCAGACCCGTGACCCTTGGGGTTTTGGGGAGAGAGATACGGCGAGATGTTGTCCGTCCACGAAATGCATGGATCGTTGAGACCGACTCAGCGTGAACGAGGCTCCCTGGAACAACACATGCTTCG